TAGGGTCGACCGAAATAGCAAAACTTGTTACATTAAAGAACAATGTGGTGGATATGGTTGCATTCAGCGATTAGATATTCTGAAATTTGTCACACATTTTAGGATGTTTTAAAGTTTCACAAGCACAATCTGAAGGCCTATGTACAGTACAGTATCTGTTGATAGTGCAAAACATTCAAGAGTAATATTTTTTTATCCAAATGGAAATATTGTCAGTGTCAGCAGTTGCCTATCACTAATATCTAAACATCAAAATTAATTCATGAGTGTCTGTAAAACCATGTCTTAAATATTTCAGAATATCTATAAAGAGATTGGACCTTGAATTGATTTAGCTTTACTCAAATGTGAATCGGAGACTAAAAACGAAAATGTCAGAAGAATAGTGACTTTCTGGAATATCGGACAGAGTGAAATATAAGTTTATTTCCTAACTATGAGAACATTATTTGTTTTGATTTTTGTCAAAGTATAATTTTTTTACTTGTAAGGTTGGGTTTGGGGTGGGGTGGGGGTACATTGGTACACTTTAGGAGTAATAACATAGTTCTGTCATTTTAATTATTATTCACTGGAAATGATAGCAAGGTATGTTTTAAGAATCTTGCCTCCTCCAGGAAACGTGGAAAGGTAATAAAATAGATAATACTCCAATCAATTATTAATAATTACTTAACTGTCTCAATGATCAGATTCATGTGAAGTTAAGGCAGAACTAGGCAAAAAAACACTATATACATATCATGGCTGAACAAACACTTGGTACTTAGATAGCTAGTTTGTTTTAAGTTATATTTGGTCTTTAAATAATATGTTTATTCAGAGAGTGACTCATAATAAAGTTATTTCAACATCCAGAGAATTTGAAAGAAAAACAAAGGCTACATTTTGGTCACACCCAGGCATTATTCAGTCATGGAACCAAGTAACTTACAGAATTCTAAGTTGACTGTTCATGTAACTGGAATGGATATTGAAACATGACATTCAACCCCGATTTCATGTAATACTTCTTAGAATTCATCAGCTTGTGAGGAGGTTACCAATATTTGAAGACTGAGCCAAAGTAGTGTTTTTTAAGATGTTGTTTTTGGACAAATTGTTCAAGGTTTGTTGGTGCTTATTTGGAAAATAGGCTTAAATTCATATTAAAATGCACACTGGTTTAATTGCAGGAGGTGAAAGCTTCAAGACATTTTCATGTATGTTTTCCTAAACTTTTGTTATGACTTTTACCAAATTTTTAAGCAACTATAATATAGTTTGATGACACTAGTAAGTATCTCAGGAAAGGAAATAGATCAGAATTAGTGTTATTTCCCTAAGGGATATGGTCTCAGATCTAATAAAACAAAGATTATCATTGTCTAAGAAGCAATAATGTCAATATGTAATTTTATTGACAAATAGCTTTAAACTTTGAATATATTCTTTGCCTCTTGTTTACAATAGTAGTTAGCAGTTAAATATCTCTAAAGAAAAAGCAGTATATTTGTATGTTGTGTAACATTCTGTTTCAATGCTAGTTAATTGTACGGATAACTGTGGATCCTCTGTTCAAAGATTTTGCATCACACGTTTCCTATTTATGGAAGATGTGTCAGTGTACAGGTGCAGACTGTATCTTGGATTCTTTGTGTTTATGGTGGTGTGACATACCTGTAGATAAATGCTGGCAGTTCCTGAAGTCCATTATAGTGGAGGTTTGAAGATTAGGATTCCATAACTAAGTACACATAGAAAAATAAATTGGAAAGGATTATTTAAAAAATGGATTTCCTTATATTCAGTGTCATTTTAGGATGGTGTACAGATTTGGAAGAGAGAAATTTTACTGAGAATAGCTGCAGATTATCTGCTGAATATTTGCTTCTTGGTATGTCCAGATACATCCATGGAAACATACTGTGTTAACAGGTCCAGTAACGTTTTCCAGATAATATATATACAGACAAACAAGGTGGACGAAGTAGTAGACGGGATACTGCTTTCCTGGCGTTGTCCCTTGAAAGGTAGAAACCTAAGTTTTCTCAAACTTAAAGCTGAACAACGGATAAATAAATAAAGGTGGCACGCCGCAGTTTTGACAATTTATTTTATAGATACCGGAACGATCTGTAACTTGAACATGTGGTTGTGTTCACGGTTTTTATAATATTACGATGGGAATTTTTGAGAAAAAAACAACAAACATAATTCAGTTACCTTTCCCCTGCTAATATGTTAGACGAACGTGAATTGCCGGATCGATTATTTGGTAGAAAATACGCTTCCCAGTCTGAGACGATTTTTCATCGGGCATGTAGATCTAAGTACTTTTTCACTCGCCAATTATACAACCTGTCAACTAAAATATATTGAAAATAAAATACGTATAACTTTCCTTTTAAAATATCATTCACAAACGACGGATACCAAAGTACAACAAGCATAATTCATCAACAACATTCGCAATCACGTACATTTCGCCGGCGGTGACGCCATTGTGATTAGTCCGTGGTTGTCCCCCCTAACGTTAAAAACGAAGTGGGCGGGGCTTATCGGCCGGGACTGGATCGGTCTATTAAAGGCTGGGATAGGTATCCGCTTCGTGGGTTCAAGACAAGTCTGTCAGGGCACTTCATAGTGACTGTATCATCAAAAGTCTCCGGTAAACAAACAGTAGTCCGCCATTGCAAATGCTACCCACAATGCAATAGTGTAAAAAAAACGGACAACACGGACATCAATTAACCAGGCGAGTCCAAACCCATAGAATCTGGGTAAAGTGACGCTAGCTACTTGACCAAACATCACTGCTGATACCACACGCAGAAACTGTGCATAAATAGACCAGCTTGATATTCAGGAATATTGTGCAACGCTTCACTGAGTCTTGTTACTGTATACAGACTACTCGCAGCAGCTTTGTGGTGTATCGCTGGGTGTAATCATGGTCTGTTTCGTCAACCTCAGCACCCTTCCTTTCACATCATCGTCAAGTTTCTCGACAAATATGTCAAACCGGGTGGTTGTAGAGCTGATATCTTTGTCGAAGGGTAGATTCATTGAATCGAATCATTCATCAAAGTTGAAGATCGGATTGTAGATGACGGAGGAATCTTAAAAATTCGGGATCATCAATCACCGCCGTAATGTAGAGGCCTGCGCTACTGACATAACTACTACCTCTGTACAACAAGCCGAAACAATAACCAGGTTCTGTACAGGAGGATTCCTTTGTTGCACATGACGACCAATCATGTCCCAGATATGCTCCAAAGGGTTAAGATCGGGGCTCATTCAAGGATGAGATATGTCATGGGGTGCTTAACTAAGTTCCTTCTGTAAAGTTGGTGAAGGTAGAGTCCGGAGACTAGGAGCAGCACTTGACAAAGTCTGTAGCCAAGCACTTTGTGTGAAGAGGCTTGTGAGCTTGAGATGAAATAGCCAGCATAAGCCTCCAGAATATAACTCTCAAACAGTAAGAAAAGGTATGACTGGAAACATCAAGCTAAACTGGGCAACATGACAAATCTTAAATATATTCTCTTCCACCAGAATAGAAATTTATGTGTCAGATTCTTTTGTCATAAGCCTTTGATAATCACCTCATCTGCTGGAGCTGTGTTCACCTTGTGACCCTTCGCAGCTTTGAGTTGACCCCTGGCATACAGAAATGACAGAACCACTTTTAGGTTCATATTCCACTGCAGGTTGACTAAGATTGATACCATGGAGTTCAGTGCAGATGCCATACATTCCCTCCTCTGCATAACAAAAAAACAAGTTCCACTTCATGTCATGAAGACACCTTCACATCTCTGCTGCACTCCTAGACAAGCCTTTGTTAGTTAGGGCTTTTTAAGATGTGCTACAGATGCAGACCAAACAACTCTGCAGGCTGATGATGTCAGTGTAAGTGAGGTTCCACCATTCTAGCAACTGGACGGGATTTCTGGGCCACTTTGTACCAGCTCCAAATCCCAGTTGGCCAATAAGGCGTGACTATAATCAATCAAAGAGTAGTCTTTTTTCAGCTCTTTTGCAGAACTCATGGAAGCATCATAGGTGGAGGCTGGTATGAATGTGGAACTTCCCAACTGTTGGTTGATCCACAACTGGAGAGATAAATACTGGAAGTCGTTTGTCGAACACTGTGGTGGTAATATTTTCAGGGTTTCTCCACGGTTTATTTGTCACAATAAAAAGCATACTTGTGCACAGCTAATGGTATGTGATGAGGGTGATGCTTCATCTAAAGATGTACCAATCAGATGGTATATTCAAGCTGCCAGATTGAGGGCAGTTGGGGGAGAGTTGATCCCTATTTGTTTGTACACCACTGCAGCGTCATCTGTCATCATACAAGGGAAACTGAGAGAATGTTGCACATTGCTGAAAGACCCAAATGACTGCTACAAACTCCAATCTATTGTATGTACCAGTGTTGTACTTGAGTTTCAAGATGATAAAGCATCCACAAACAGATTATTGGTCGGATCACCGTCTGTAAAAGAGACTCCATCTAAAATGTACAATGGGAAATTCACATGAGGGGCCATGACAACCAGGTTTGATGCAACTACCAGTACGTGGCCAAACTACCAATCATGTAAACATGAAAACCCACATGGATAAAACATAACTGAGACTTAAATGAATACACATGTGTACAAACAACAAATAGTCAATACAAAACATTAACCTTTGTAAAAAGGGATCACATCAAGGATTCAGGAAAAAATGTAGCACTGACCACAAACCAGGCTTAGCAAGATGTAGGCAGATGAAGTGGGGTAGTGTTTGGGCACTACTCCATTTTTTGGATTCCAGAACAAGCGTTCCAGCTAATAAAATTGCAACAACACTGGCAATACAAGGAATAACTACACTTATCCAAATTGAAAACATATAGGGTTTATCTACCAAATATCCACGAGGATAGTAGCAGTCACTGTGCAGTTTGTAATGTCCATTATGCTTTGCTACCTGTTGTACACTAGATATATCCTTGTGAGTCTTACCCTAGGTTATGTATAGCTTCCTGGTCAATCAGGCTGGGGCCGCTGTTGTTCAAGTCATAAGGCAGGTACATATATGCATCTCCATTGTCCTCACAACCAGGCAACGGCAGCACAGTGTCATGGTGACCCTGCAAGGCAAGTTCAAATGAATATTAAAAACCAAAAGTGAGCAAATGTTGGTTTACTTTACCATCAGCAATATTCAAGCAGCATATGGTGATGGACCCAAGATTTGAATGTTGGCCAGGTAAAACAGAGATTGATTGTGAGAGTTCTTGGGGCAAGGTGACATTTCATGACTGACTGACTGACTGAGTTTGGTTTTACGCCGCTTTTAGCAATATTCCAGCAACATCTCGGCGGGGAACACCAGAAATAGGCTTGAAACATTGTACCCATGTGGGGATTCGAACCCGGGTCTTTGGCGTGACGAGCCAACGCTTTAACCACTAGGCTACCCCACCGCCCCGACATTTCATGAGCCTGGTTATACACCACAATTCTCTCGCACAAAGCATGGGGTACAAGGGATATATTCTGCTCCGAAATCCCCATAGTGTAAATTTGAAAATTTTATAATAAATTGTAACATTCCACCGGTATCCCCCCTAAATTTTTACAATTAATAAAAGATACATACATATATTCAGGTAATATGATATGACTAGAAGCCATAAAATAAGTTTAAAAATGACATTGTGCATACAGACATTGGATTATCAGGCTCAGAGTTAGGGTTAGGGTTAAGGGAGGATACAGACGGAAGTCTTTCCCAATAAATTATATATCAATATACTTATTCTATCTCACACTTTCCACCTCTCCCTTCTGTATCAATCCTGAGTGGAAAGATGCTTGGAATCCTTAGAATGTTTCCAGTTGCAAAACCTCTCACTGAAAAGCACCCAGCAGATATCACCACCTTTGTCAATATCACAGCTCTGACTGCCCATACAGTATGTGCAACTTGCCCCTCTGGTTGTGTGACCTCATGAGTCATGAGCCAAGGCTGGTAATTACCGTAGAGGGGCAGGTAGAGTTTAGTATGTAAAAAAGGATAGGCACATAAACATGCAAGCTAATTTCAAATCTTCAGTTCATTTAAACTTCATCTATCATACACTTTGCATTTATGCCAATGCAGAACAAGAGAGATAGTTCTATAGATGTACAACTTTTTTATTACAACATATTCGACGTTTTGGTGTAGATGCTAGCACCATTATCAAGCAAGCGATGCACAGTACTGTTGGCAAAGGCTTTATATATTAGTACACTTACGAATGTACAGTAATGTATAGGATGATAATGCTAATGGATGTTTGCACAATAGACAAGGATGATGTACAAAGTGTCATGGATGTTTACACAATAAAGCATAAACAAGGGAGAGATTATTGAGGTAGCCTGTAATGTGATGGACAATGAGAATAATGAGAGATAGCATCAAGATTGCTTGTGGTGAGTTGATGGTGGGTAGTAGGGATGTAATATCATTGGTCTCTGTTGATGGCTTGTTGGAGTCTCTTGATGTGAATGGTTTCTAGTAGTTTCTTGATCTTCTAGTGGACCTGATTGCTGGTTTCATGCGGCGGTCTGGCTGGGCTTGGATGTGGTCAGAGATGGCGGATTTAGAGTGTTTGTTTTTTACCCAGGTTTGGTGTTCCTTACTTGTTACAGTAAAGAGCCTTGAAGTTTCAATGATATATGAGTGACCAATGTCACTTTGTATATGGTAAACTGCACCTGTAGGGTCACCTGTAGGTGTTGGGGCTGGTCGGCCATTGGATTGGAGATTGTCCTGTTGGTTTTTGTCTCTCTGGCCCACTTGCTGTTGACTTGCTGTTTGAGGAGTGCATTGTTTTGGAGACAAGCTGTACCTATCTAAAGCAGGCTGTTTGTTGATGTGGGGACTTATCTTTTGGGTTGAAGGTGGTTTTGACGATGCTGTTTAAACAGAAGGGTAGTTTGAGGTGCAGGTTTTGGAGTTCTGCTTGTAGTTGTTCAGGTACTGAGTAGATGGTTTTGGAGCCATTATACCTCTCTTGATTGGTGGGGGATAGTTTGATAAATGGTGATGTTACTCGTTGTTGTGTGGGGGTTTACGGTACACACTGGTCTACAATATTGTTGTTGTCTTTTTTCTTGACTCTGACATCAGGAAATTTAGTTGGTTGTCTGAGTCTTTCTCCAGAGTGAACTGGGCGAGGATACTTGGTGTTGAGATGGTTGAGGAAGTTCTCGATACTTGTGATGTAGACACTTACAACAGAGGCATGAACAGTGTCCTCCCAGCACATCGGAGTTTTCCAATCGTCACGGTAACATAGTAAAGCATGAACCAGACACAAATACAGATCCTCCACATCTGGGCCCAGGATCATCAACAAAGGATGGATAGTAAGCAATCTATTCAGTTGTCCAGGTTTTTGATTCATGGAACCAAATTCCCATCTGAGACCAAGATAAACATTCCCTTGTCAAGCCGTCTCAAACTTTCTATTCACATCCAAAAATGTAATTTTTATGATAAAATTGATATTTTATACTTATCCTGACTCATGCTTTATTGCTTATCTCCCTTCTCCTTTTGATGTTTATTTGGAAAGTTGAATCCCTTAGTTCCCTGAAGAATCGTAAAATCACTCACCCAACAAGTTGCCTCCCTTTTCCCACCAAAGCTGTTCCATGTGACTGGAGCCCGACTCTCATCACTCTCTCCTGATAAAGCCTTACACTGGGTCTTACAGTGAAGCCTGTAGTGCTGAGAGGGGACGGTTGGGAGGGCTTTATATCATGAGTCAGATTAAGTATAAAATATCAATTTAAGAAATACAGTTCGCTCTACCACCATGTATAGTAATATAAAGCACACTTTCGCCCTGAACTATTATAGTTAAAGTACGAGGACGTCACTGCAGTGCTCTGGCGACAGAGTTACGTAACCTGTCTGTGGTTTCGTTGGCGGGCGAGAGTGAAGCAGGCGACTTTTTGGCAACTTTTAATCGCTCGGTATTAATTAACCACAAGTCTTTTAAGAATGAATTTGGTGTTCCGCATATGTCTAACCATAAATCTTTCATATGTAATAGTTAAAAGAGTACAAAAAAACAAAGTTTATTTGTTCTTTAAAACAAGGGCGTTACCATAACTGAGTCTATATCACTCATGCACTGATTTATCTTGTAAGACAGGGGAACATGGACTCTCCGCCGATGGCAACGTGTCTGCTACCTTAGCATCAATGAGCCTGCGTGATAGGGGTGAGTTTCTCATATTCTAGCTGGAATCATGAGTTGTTGTGCTACCACAAGTGGGTTAAACTGATGGATCATCTTCTGTAGCGATGACTTGAAGATGGTGCTTGGCAAACACAGTGTCTGATTTCTGAAAGCAGCCTCCACTGATGGAAGATAAAGAGCGATTCCCATGTAGGGCGAATGTCGAGGCTAATGCTCTAACTTTGTGTGGGTTGGAGGTTCCATGAGGGCCCAGCCCTGCTGCTTTGTAAGCTTGTAGGATGACAGCTCTGATCCAATACGAGATAGTAGTTCGGGAGACTTCAATAGTCGTGGCGGTTGATAGCAGTATAAGGAGACGTTTGAACTCCCTCCTTTTTGTAGCAATCCGTTGTTAGTATATTTTTAAAGCTCTGACTCGGCATAATGACGAGTCTTCTGTGTCATGTTGTCCGAGGACTGAAGACAATGACGTGACATGGAATTGATGATCTGGTTGGCCAGGTAGTTGATTCTTAGCTGTAAAAACCCATCTTAGTCCCAGACGGACTGCAGCATGCTCTCTGGAGTTGAACTTAGTTCGCCCATAGTCGAGGGCGCGTGTATTTCTGACATCCTAGCCGCTGTAGCTAAGGCAAGGAGGAATAATGTCTTCTGAGTTAGCAATTCCAAAGTTATGTCTATTAGTGGTCCATAGTCGTCGCTGGTAAGATGTTGCAGCACTATGTTGAGATTCCATGCTGGAGCTCTAACCTTTTGCAGCTGATCGTCTAGTTTAAATGATCTCAGTAGAGCAACGAGTTCGGGTACTTTAGTGGGTGTAACTCCTGTGTTCATGGTGATAATGGAGCTCATTGCAGCCAAGTATGTTGTGAGTGTAGATCCCTTCAAGTGTCTAGTAGCTCTCAAATGGCATAAGTATTCTGCTACTTGAGGATTGCGGGTAGTGAACAGATCAAAACTTTTCCATTTATCATCGTAGAGATTTCAAATTGAACATCTTAAAGTATCCTCCAGATGCAGCATTCACTCTGTGGGAGATGGTCGGACCAGTCTGGATAAGGCGTCTGCTAGGACGTTCTTTGTTCCTGGAATGTGATAAGCTTTCATCCATAAGTTGGGATTGTCCGCTAGGTTGAAGAGTTGGAACATCAGTTGCAGTAGTGGCGCTGATCTCGTTGACCTTGAAGATTTATGTAGAAGCTACTGTTGAGCTGTCCACATGAATCATAAGTATTTGATTTCTCGATGAGAACTGCCTTGAATTCCAGTTGATTTATGTTTATGGTCTTTTAGTGACCAAACTCCTGATGCAACCTCTTCACTGAAGTGTGCTCTCCATGCATCTACGAAGAGATGTAGATTGTAGGACGGCTCTTGTAAATACATTCCATTGCAGATGTTCGACTTGTTTGTCCACCAAAGAAGATATTCCTTCAGATTCTGAGAGGTAGATATCTTCTGTAAACTGTCTAAGTGAGGTTGAAGGAAGCAGTGTAACTGCATGCAACCTTCCTCTGTCTTGTGCTGACCTAAGTCTAGGTAAGAAGCACTGCAAATTCCCTTCTGATGTAGAAAGGAGACTATGGGCTTTGTCACACGTGTAAATAGCCACGAGGCGAGGAAATTCCAAAGGGGAGGACCCTCCACTGATAATGCTGCCCTTGATACAGGAATCGTAGATACTTTCTTGAGGTCGGATGTATGGGGATGTGCAGATAGACATCTGGAAGATCTATGCTTGTTAGGTAGTCGTTGGGTCTGATTAGATGTCACAATTGTGGTAAGTGCACCATCTTGAACTTGTCTGGTTTTCGTTGATAGTCTAGGTAGATCACCATACTAGGTCATTGGCGAGAGAATCGGGAGGTTCCTGAAGAACGACCTCT